ACAGTTTTTTTTTTTTTTTTGGTACATTGATTTGTATATATACAGTCGCAAAATTGATTAAACTCTTTTAGCCCTATGATTGGCCAATAATTAAAATAAATTCTCAAGATTTGGTGCATAAAAGAACCTTATGTGACCCATGCCGAGTTATCTTCTTATTAGAGAATCTTTTTAATTTACTCTTAATTTTTAATTATTCATTTTCAGAGCACCGGCAGAAGGACTTTCTAAAATAAAAATGTAGGTCGTTTATTCAGTCCAAATAATTTTTTTTTTCTTAAGACGGAACATTATTTTATAAAAATTTAGTTTAATAATTCCTATCTCCAATGATGTACCTGTTAAACGGCTATAAACAGCTAAGGAAACCACAATAGGGAAGATAAAATATAAAAATCAGTCTCAATGATCCAAAGTTAACCCGTCTCCATCATCATTATTGGTCCCACATTAAGAAATAATGCAGAAATTAATTACACAATGTAGTTATGAAAATGAACAAACAAGTACTTGCCACGTATTCTAACACTAAGATTAAGCATTAATTAGCTGTAGGAGGTTTGCATTACGGTCTAGATTATTGTATTTAGTTGTACGATTTTTGGATGGTGAGAATAGAAATTTGCCGACCGCTCTAATGTCTGTTGGAAAGTTGTGTTGTGATATCAAGTTTTTTTTTTTTTTATCTCATTTATTACAGTCAGACATTTCTATAATAACATTTCTATATAATAATCATTACTAAAAAAGTCGAGTCTTTTTGGAACCGAATATTATATTATATTATAATATATTTCCTCTATAACAGTACTTTACTATAACAGCCAAAAAAATTCGAAACAAACGAGACTGCTATCAGGGGCGAATATAGCATGCGACCGCTTGGTCGGAATTTTTATTAAATATGTATATGTAAATTGTATACAAAATGAAAATTGTGGGTATAAATATAAAAATTAACACCACTTTTCATTAGTTAAATTCTTTATCAACAAAGTTTTTAAGTATAAATTGTACGATAATTTCAAATAAGTAAAACTTTTCAAGATGCGAAATTAATGTTTGTCTTTGGGAATTAGAAACTTATCATCTATTTTGTTTTTCTTCGTATGGCCGTATTTGAATTTGGAAACTTTCGGAAAAGCCTTCTAAAATGTAAAGAAACAAGTCTATATAATATTTAAAGATGATTTGGTGTTTCAGGAAACAAAAAAAAAAAAAAAAAAAAAAAAAAC